GCATTTTCAAGGGAGGCAAAATTTGGTTCTTGGGGGACTGAAAAAATAGATGTTACAATTACTTGTGGCCCCACATGACAAAATCTTATTCATTAGCATTGTATCTCTCATTAGGGAGAAATTAAATAATTTACTTAACTGCAATTAAGTTTAATTAAATGATTTAATTCAATAAGTCAATGTTTCTCCTTAGGGAATGATAATGGGGAAAAAAGTGGGAAATGTTGCTGTAAGCATTTATGAGTTTGCTTATGCTCTGTCTGATGCCCTCTGAGCTCAAGGAGGGTAGGCCAGGTCTGTCTAGGTCCTGCTACAGCTCTAGTTCTAGAACGCTGCTGGCACACAGTAGGTGCTCAGGTAACACCTTCCATGTGCCAAGCCCTGCAGAGAATAATCCAGACAAGGCTCTGCCATACAAAGGTGGTGCTGGGCTTCCCCTCCCTGGATTCTGTGGGCAGTAGGGAGCCATGGAGGGTTTGGAAGCCAGGAAAGGAGAACTTCTTGGGCTGGTGCATCCCCAACCAGAGCTGGCAGCTGCTGCTGCATCCCAAGCCTCTTCCCACCCAAGTCCCCGCCACCAGTCCAGCCCAGGACAGAAATAGAGCAGCCCACGTCTTCTGCAAGGCTGGAGGGGGTGGATGCAGCTAAACCCAGCTCGGCAGGTGGCTCACTCAGGGTGGGAGTTGGGGGTAGGGCAGGATTCCTGGGTTACTGGCTCACTGTCTGGTGGGCCTCAGGCAAGCCTGGACCCTCACAGAGGCTTTGTGGCCTCCAGGAGAGCCTGACTGCCCTGGGCCTGAGGATGAACGAGCTACACTAAAGATAGCACAGCGGATTTATATATAGACCCTCCCACCTGGTTTCCAAAAGGATTCAAAACGGCTTTCACAAGAGGCAAAGAAATGAACATTTAGAGCGTGCCAGAGTTTACACATGAGGCTCCCACGTCACAAGCCTCGGGGAGTAGAACCAGGACAAGAAGAATCTCAGATCCCTCCAAGAAGCACGTCTGAATGAGAATGAGCTCCCCATCAGAGGCGGTGTGCAAGCAGAGGCCTCAGCCCCTGGCGGGGGTGTGAGTGGGAAGGGATCCCTGCACCGGACAGAGGCTTGGCCAGATGCTAAGTCCCTGCTGGGACAGAAGATGGCGCCAGCCCCGCTTTCTCAGCCACTGCCCCTGCCCACAAAGCAGTCAGGGATGCAGCCAGAGGTAGGGTTGGTGGTAGGAGCCGAGTGCTGGCCCCTTCCCCTTTTCCTGAGCCAGAGTCATCCCAACGGACTTAAAAACTGGAGCAAGGGTGGGGGGATGGGTGGGTAAACCTTACCGCTACCGGGACTGCTGTGCTGATGACGCAGGCAGCCCTGCCTCAGACCCCGACGTGGTCCCAGCTTTGGTACTGCTCGCTGTGTGGTCTTGAGCTCTTCGCTTCCCTTCTCTGACGCAGAGTCCCCGATCAGTACAACCAGGGGGTTGCCTCGGTCCTAGAGAGCCCTCCTGGGATCCACAGCCCCAAATAAATGGAACTGCAGTGCCCACCCCCACCCCCAGCGCAAGCCTTCGCACAGATCCGGTGGGCCCTGCTCTCTGGGCCCCATTGCATTGGTTCTGGGATCGTTCTTGGGGCCGGAGGGCACCTTCCCCGCACTTGCCCTGTTTCCTCTGTCATTGCCTGACCCTCGTCCATGCCAGGCCCTGAACAAGACAGACCCATCTCAGCCCTAGAAGAGCTCCCAGTCTAGTGAGGGAGCTGGCCAGCAGACAAGAGTGTGAATAAATAGGTTGAGGAAAACACAGCAGGGCAAAGGGACAGAGAGACAGGGTGGTCAGGGAGGCCTCACTGAGCAGACGGCATCTCTGAGGAGGTGAGCAGAGGTGTCCTGAGCCAGCCAGGAGGATGGCTTGGGGGAGAGCGCTCTGGGCAGTAGAGGACAGCTAGTGCAAAGGACCTGAGGCAGCTGAGCACGGCATGGCTGCAGCACAGGGAGCAAGGGAAAGTACGGGCGCGGGCGTGGGGGGAGGGCTGGCTGGTGGGGGCCATGGGGAGGCTTGGACAGGGGAGGCGGGAGCTACAGCAGGGCTCTGAGGAGAGGTGAGGCCGAGCTGGTGGCTAACAAGCAAAGCCGCCTTTCCTGGTCTCCAGAAGGGAGTTCGCCAAATTCTCCCTCAGAGGCCACCTCCTGCTCCCAACCAGGCCCAGAAGCTGTAATTTTTTTTATTTTTTTTATTTTTTATTTTTGCAGTACGCGGGCCTCTCACCGTTGTGGCCTCTCCCGTCGCGGAGCACAGGCTCTGGACGCGCAGGCTCAGTGGCCATGGCTCACGCGCCCAGCCGCTCCTTTTTTATTTTTTATTTTTGCAGTACGCGGGCCTCTCACCGTTGTGGCCTCTCCCGTCGCGGAGCACAGGCTCTGGACGCGCAGGCTCAGTGGCCATGGCTCACGGGCCCAGCCGCTCCGCGGCATGTGGGATCTTCCCGGACCGGGGAACGAACCCGCGTCCCCTGCATCGGCAGGCGGACTCTCAACCACTGCGCCACCAGGGAAGCCCCTAGACGCTGTATTTTCAACGCTGGCGGTCGAGGAGGCTCTCGTGGCTGTAACTGAAACAGAAAGTCCAGGAACCTCCACCATGTGGCAGTCAGTCCAGGGAGACCCCAGGTCTGGGCTAGGCCCCTGCCTGCCCATCTGGTCCCTGTGCCCATGACCGCCACCCCACAGCCTAGGGACAGGGAAGGGGGCCCTGCCACTTGGGGCAATCACAGGCTGAATAAACTGTCAAGGGCCTGGGCACTGGCATGTGCTTTGTAAATGTCAGTGACCTGCACACTGGCTTCTCCCACTTGGATGCCTGGACACCCTTTGTAAAAGCTGAAGCGTCCCCTAAATAGCACCTGAACCTGTGAACAACCGTGTTTGCACTAATGCCGAGAGGAATCTACAAACGCTAACGTTCTAATATGGCCAGGGCTTGGCAAACCGGGAACCACTTGCTGAGCTATAAAGCGCCTCATAATCCTGCGGAGGCCCTGTGCACGATAAATTACTCTGTAAGCTGTGTTTTGTAAACAGCTCTGGGCTTTGTAAACCGCAGTCCTTTGGACACTGCAGATGACTTGCCAGCTGTAGAGAGCTGTGCACCCAGGAGAACGTGCGTCACGAGTCGCCCTCCCTCGGCCCCGGGCTCCCCTCCGGGCCTCCACGCTGAGGACGGACGCGCGCGGGCCGCCAGCTGGGCTCCGGTCCGGGTCGCAGAGCTGGGCGGCGAGGGTCCCCCCGACCCCTTCCCCGCAACCCAGACACCGCCCTCTCCAGGCCCAAGCGCGGGTGGGGCTGGGGGCGGGCGCTCCGGGGCCGCGGGGTCGAAGCGCGGGCTCTGCCGCCTCCTGGTGGCCGCGGAGGGAGGAGGGGCCGGGGCCGCGGCCGGGACTTGGGTCTGCCGGTCCTGCGCGCGCGCGGAGGACACGCGTGCGTGCGTGCGTTCGTGGGCGTGTGTGTGTGAGGCCGTGTGTGCACACGGAGCCACACTCGCACGCAGGGCGACCCGCCCACGCGCACATCCACGCGCGCACCTTCAGGACTCACGCCCTCGTCCTTTCTTTCGTGTGTTCATTCACTAGTGTTTTCATTGAACACAGGTTGAGCGCTCCCCAAGTGCGGGCACTGAGCACACGATGGTGGCGGGTCCGACCGGCCCAGATAAATCAGAGAGAGGTTAGTACACCGAAGGGACCAGGTGCCGGGCCTCCCTGAGGAAGTGACAGGGGAGACAGGAACCGGTGAGCAGGGGGCCACAAGATGGGGAGGAGCGATCCACACAGAGGGCACAATCAGTGCAAAGGCCCCGAGGTGCGAACAGCCTTCACGTGGGAAGGAGGTTGGAGCTGTTAAATGCTGTGCCAGGGAGGGTTATAGGTAGAGGCTGTCCCAGACTGAGGCTACCTGGGGATGAGAATCGGACTCTGCCTCTGGCTGAACTGAGGCTGGGAGGACTGGTGGACGAGGCAGAGGGGAGATGAACCCCAGAGGGATCCGTGTCTCCTTGTGGGAACACACCCATTGCCCTGGGAGGACTAGCAAGGCTAGTCCTCAGACCTTGGGATGTAGGGAGGCTGACTCGCCTGTGTTGGGTCCTTTTAGCCCGAGATGGGCTTGGGGATGAGCATATGACCCTTCCTAGCTGAGAAGAGCCGGCCCTGGGACTTCGGTGGGAGCTCTGGGCCCCTTTGCTAAGCTGGTGGGAGCCACTGAGTCCTGACATGGCCCCATGTGGGGAGTGTGAAACTGAGACAGACTTAGTCTGCTAAGGCAGACTTAAGTTCCACAGGATATTAACCTGGCTCCTGGATCCCACTATGCCTGAAGCCAGCTCAGTTCTGCTTACATGAGTTATTAAATCCCCTTCTGCTTCAGTCTGATGGGAGAGGGCCTCTACCCCATTCTGCCCAAGCCCAGGCCCCAAGGATGACAGAGCCAGACCGGATCTTGCCAAGGATGCCTTCCTCCAGCTGCCCCACTCCCTCTGTAGGGGCTACTACCTGTCCCCAAGCCTGTTTCTCCATCTCACAAGCCATGTGGCTTTGGGCAAGTGACTTCGGCTCTCCGGGCCTGTTTTCTCATCTGTGAGCTGGGAATAATGACACTACCCCTCAGCTGAGGTGACGGCCCAGGCCCAGGTGCAGCACCTGGCAATGCACTCATCAATGCCAGGGGGACAGTTGGCCCCTCAGGGGACTGGGCTTGTGTTGCCGCTCTGTCCAGTGTTCAGCAAGGGCCTGGCAGCTCGTCACGGCCCTAGGGGGCAGCCTCGTGTCCTCACATGTGGAGGTGCAGGGCCCCGGCAGGTGAGAGGCCCCTACTCCCCTGATCACGCTGCCGTGTCCCTGTCCCGGGGGCAAGGGGTCCCCCCTCCAGGGCCACCAGCCATCACTAAGCAGGAGGAGGGCTCGCCGCTATGACACACAGTCTCACACGACCTTTTGTCCCACTTTTTTTTTTTTTTAAATTAAAACAGCAATCAGGCAACTGCCCCAACCAATCAGGGACAGGACCCTGGACGGGCAGTCCTTTCTTCAAAAAAATATATTTTCTTCTTTTTTTTTTAAAACAATACCAAAAGCAAATCCACAGCCCCCGTCGAGCCGGTCCCCAAGGAGAGTGAGTTGGATGGCTCCCCTAGCGCCTCTCTGAGCAGAGACCTTGGGCCCATCCCCCTAGACCCCGCCTGAGCAGAGAGGGCAGGTCTTAGCCTGCTGGTCCCCTAGCAGGTGACAGAAAAGTGATCGGCTCCAAACCATGCAAGAAAAACCAGCCAAACCCACAAAGCGAAAGAAAAAAATCAAGAGGATAAATTAAAAAAATAAAAGTGAAACAACACCCCTAGAGGCGGCAGGCAGGGGCGAGGTGGCCCCGGTGCCCTTAGAGCCCTGTCTGCCAGTGCTGGGGTGAAGGCCTCGGTGGCTCTGGCATCTGCCTCATGGGGGCTCCAGGGGATTCACATGGCTCATCCCCCTACTGGGTCCCCCTACCGATGCCAGGACAGAGGTGTGGCCAGCCTGGGCCAAGTGTGCAAAGTCCATTCAGTCAAGAGATAAAAAAATATACAACTTGGGTGGCATCCAGGGCCAGGCCAAGGCAGCGGCCTGTACAAGGCACCACTGCCTTCTCTGTGAGGGGCGTCTGGCCCCTCCAAGTCCAGAGTCTCAGAGTCCTTGGAGCAGCAGGGGCAGAGGCACTGCAGGGCCCCGATGGTCTGGTTCTTTGGCACTTGGGACCAACAGCCTGTCAGGCGGGAGCAGCCCCCTGGATTCCTCCCGGGTGCCCAAGGCCAGGTTGGCAGTAGCTTATGGGTGTGGGCAAGCACTGCCGCAGCAGAGGCCTGCACGGCGCCGCGGGGCCAGAGTGGGTCCAAGGCCCCGCCACCTACGAGTCCTCTCCCAGGATCTCCTTCACAAAGGCAGCGATGTCGGTCTTCTTGGTTTTGTGCGAGGTGAAGAAAGGGTGTTCCTGATGGGGACAGAAAGCAGTCAGTCACCTTGGAGGGGGTGAGGTGGAGGTGCCCCCACATGCTTCTCCTGCCCAGCAAACTCCTAGCCATCCTTCCAGGACCTCTGCCCCCCAGAAGCCCTCCTGTGAGAGGCAACGTTCACGGCCTCCTCCTCAGCCCTCCCGCAGCCACCCTCAACTCACTCTTCCCTGTGCATGCTAGGCCTCTGTCCCTCAGCGGGTAAATCCTTATTCACCCTTCTAGGCCCAGTTCCCCTGCAAAGCCTTCCCTGATGCCTCCAAAGAAAATGGTCCACCTGCCCCCGCCTTGCCCTCTGCCTCCCTCCACAGGGCCTGGCATGGAGCGGGGAGGAGGGAGCCAGAGTACACATGAGTGAATGAGTGACGGGAGTTCCTAGGAGTTCCTAGGAGTGAATGCCCAGGCAAGCCAGAGGAGCTGCCCACCGCTGTGCACAGATGCAGTGCTCTCCCAGAGAGTCCCGCCCACACTCACCATCAGCTCCAGGTAGCTCATGCGTTCCGCAGGGTTCTTTCTCAGGCTAGGACAGAACAGGGCAGGCTGAGGGCAGGCTGGGGCCAGACTGGCAGGGAAGAAGTGAGTCCAGCCCATCCAGGCCAGCCAAGCCAGTCTGGGTTCAGCCCTGCCCAGGCAGCATATGCTCCTTGGGCTCAGGGAAGAAGGGGCCGGACTGTTCTGGGGGGGCTTCCAAGGGCGGAGTGGGATCCATGGTGCAAACTACAGAGATTTGGACCAAGTTTCTTTGCCTCTTGGGGTGTTAGCTTTCTTGTCTCTACAGTGATCTAGGGAATTTGCAATGATCCCAATACCAAAATGCTAACATTAACAATCACTTACTTGGTATCCTCAATCGGGACACCCCCTACCACGGGTCTTGGGAGAAAATGACTCTGTCTGCCAGGCTCACTTGTCTCCAGTCTTTCTTATTTTCCAATAAAAGAAATAAAGGCTACAAATTTCCCTCTGAGTATCTCTTTGGCCACAACACATAGATGCTGACATGTTATATTCTCATCGTCTTCACTTCTGACTAGTTTATAATTTTATTGTTTGAATCTCTCTCATAACCCAAGGGTGCATTAGAAGAATTTACTTTTAATTTGCACGTAGCTTTTTTCTCTTCAGTTACGGATTTCCTGCTCCAGCTAATTACAGTCGGAGAACGTGGCCTAGATGGCTTTGCCTTCTGCCTCTTCCTCCATTTCCTTTGTAACCTCAAACATAATTAATTTTTATAAGGATCCTGTGGGCAATCTTTAATTTGATACGAAGTTCGAAACATCAATGAAAGCAAATGTGTTATGCATTTAAATCCTCCATATGCTTTTTGTTTTCTTTTTCCATCCTCATGATCTGTCCATTTCTAGAGGGATTATGTTAAAATCTCCCCACTAGGACCACAGTTTGTCAATTTTTCCTTGCACTCAAACTATTTCTGCCTTACTTATTTTGATGCTATGTTGTTTGGGGGTTATTTGCTACAGGAGAAGGAGACCAGGCCCAGGGAGGAGCTGGGATCTGGCCAGGACAGGGAGGGGTACTGACTGGGCTTGGGGAGGCCCAGAGGTCCAGGCAGGGCTGAGACTCACCACTGTGCAGTGAAGTCCACAAACTCGGGGGAGAAGCGGTCAGCTGGGAGCTGCGGGGACGGCTCCTCCACCACCTGCTTCAGCTGCTGGAATGGGGTCCCCCAGGACTCATAAGGAAACCGCAGGATGGCCATCTCGATCTGCAGTGGAAACAGCGGCACTGGGTCAGATGCACCCACATTCTGCACGCGGAAGCAGGGCCTTCACAGATCCTGCCTGTCCTGGTCCAGCACCCAGAGCTGGACTGTGAGGCAGGTCCAGGGGCTGATAGGTGACATCATACCAAAGATGAAAGCCAAGGGGACACCAGCAGTTAGTTCTTCTGACCCAGCCAGCAGCTATGGCTCATGGAGCAAATCCAACCCTGAGTTTTCACTGGCTCAGCTATCATCAGGTTTTCAAACAATCTGAATTCAGAAGATTGTACATGAAAACCCAGGTTTCAGCTAATCTGAAGAAATCAGAGGAGCTGCCAACCTGGGGACACTTTCCCACAGGCTGCCGGCAGCAAAGGAACTCGGATAGGCAACCAGTGTCCTTTTCCTTTGCCACAGGCTACTCCCCACTCCCTAACGTCTCAACAATGACTTAAGCGTCTGCTGCCATTTATCTGGGCTGTTGTTATTACTGAAAGGGCAAACCGGAAATGAAATGACTCTCATGTGTTTGCAGAAGGAATGTTAGACTGTGAGGTCTGCCTTTGACCATGAGTTTCATCTAGTGGACTGTGCAACAATCCACCAGACTCCATTAGGAAATGAAGTTTACAGGCCCCTCCTCCACCACAGAGCCCCCACTGCCCAGCCACCAATACCCGTAAGGCCCATCTCCAACGCCTCCCCCTCCAGGAAGCCTTCCAGCTCTGACCTCATCACTGTTTCTCCCTGACTCCCTGGACACAAGGCTACCATGGCCTCATCTCTCCTACTAGACCCGGACCTCCCTGTGCCTTGGGTGCCTCGCATGCAGTTGGCAGCAGTCATCTGTGGGAAAGACTGACAGCTCGGGACTTCCCTGGTGGTGCAGTGGTTAGGAATCCGCCTGCCAATGCAGGGGACACGAATTCAAGCCCTGGGCCGGGAAGATCCCACATGCCGCAGAGCAACTAAGCCCACGTGCCACAACTACTGAGCCGGTGCTCTAGAGCCCGCAAGCCACAACTACTGAGCCCATGTGCCACAACTACTGAAACACGCGCACCTAGAGCCCGTGCTCTGCAACGAGAGAAGCCACCACAATGAGAAGCTCGCACACCGAAACGAAAAGTAGAGCCCACGAGCCACAACTACTGAGCCTGTGAGCCACAACTACTGAAGCCCTCGCACCTAGAGCCCATGCTCTGCAACAAGAGAAGCCACCACAATGAGAAGCCCGCACACTGAAACGAAAATAGCCCCCGTTCGCCGCAACTAGAGAAAGCCCGCACAGAGCAACGAAGACCCAAGGCAGCCGTTAATTAATTAATTAATTTTTTAAAAAGGACTGGCAGCTCACAGCAAACTCTGGGTTCCGATTTTGACTCCGCTGAGATGAAAACACAAATCAGGTCCACCCAGGCCCCTTTCCCTGACAAGTGATCACCGTAATGAACAGAAGAGACCTCAGCTCAAGCAAACACTTCTTGTTGGTGGTGACTGGCACCCAAACAGATCGCTAGTCATTGTGCTAAGAAAGCACCTTCCCGTTAGGCTAAAGGCCCCTTTCCAGCCAAGACACAAATGCATCCCACAGATGGAGGTGGCACAGTGCGGTGCGTGTGGGTGTGACCCTGCGTTTTCACAGGACAAAGTCAGCCTGCGTTTTTTCCTAGAGTTTCCAATGATTCCGACACACAAGTGAGGACCCTGCCTGGGCTGCAGACAAGGACCACCAGAGTTTACAAGTAGGAAAACAGAGAAGCATCCAAACCCTGGACCTCGTAATTCCTTTCCTGGTAATTTTTTCTAAGGAGCTCAAAAAAAGAAAAACAAAACTATAAACAGCCTCTGGGCACAGAGATGCACAGCGCAATGTTACCTGTGCTGGTAAACGCAGAGAAGCAATGTGGCCGTCCAGCGCCAGGGCTGAGTCTCACCGTGATCGTGAGGGGGCCACATGTACAGGGAGCTCACTTAATTTGGGGCTGACTGATTTCTCGACAAGCGCCACGAGCGCCTGGTAAAGTCCAATGGACGAGTCATCAGAGACGTCGAGAACTATGTAAAGCTGCCCCTCACCCCACGGCAGGCATAAGGCACCTGCAGATGCTCCCCTTAAGACACCATAATTTTTGATGACACAGTCTCTCCTCAGTCTGTGAAGCCAACCAACATTTCTGTCCAAGGCTAAACTATTTCCCAGGCCCCGGAAGCTCAAGGACCTGGTACAGCCCCTCCCAAACAGCAAGGGAGCCCCAGGTGGTACCATGGTGATGCCGAGGCTCCAGACGTCGGACTTGACATTGTAGCCTTTCTGGTTCAGCTCCGGGTTAATTCTCTCAGGCTGTGAGAGGGACCAGAGCAGGGTCGCCCAGGCATCCTCAGCTGGGTCTGGCCTCCCCCACCCCAAACCGAGGGGCCAGGGCTCACCCATCCCACCTCCCCCGGGGCAAATGAGGAAGCTGAGGCCAGCGAGGGCCACAGGGTCTCAAGGTGGAGGCCTGGGTCTTGCCACACAGCTGCCCTGCCTGGGGGTCCCACCGTCGGGACACTGGGGGAGGGGTGGGACCCCACAGGCCCCACCAGCCACCTCCCTGAGGTGAGATTTATTACCCACATGGGCACCACGGGGCCAGTCAGAAAGGGGTGGAGAGGGCCGGGCAGCAGACCCCTCTGCCCCCAATGGCAGGAAATTCGGGGTCTGGGGAGGCCTCATCCCTGATGGACACAGGACACGGCGGGGGTGGCCAAGCCTGTCTGTTTCCTCCTGGGGTGGCCCAGGAACCACTCACGGCCATGTAGGGCTTGCAGCCGGCATCCATCGTCTTGGCCACGGAATCCACCAGGTAGCCACTGATCCCAAAGTCGCACATCTTCACGTGGCCCTCCTTGTTGATGAGCACGTTGGACGGCTTCACGTCTGCCAGGGGCAGGACACGCCCTTCAGCTCCTGGCTGTGGGGCCCCCACTGCCCAGGTCAGAGCTGGTGGCCACACAGCCAGGAGCCCCGGGCTCCAGCCACAGGTAGGGGAGGAGGTCAGGGCTCTGGGGCTTCGCCCGGGACCACGTCTTTGCAGCCAACCAGCTGGGACTCGGCCGCCACTTCCCAGCACAACCTCTAACTCTGCGGTCCACCCAGGCTCCAGGGGGACCCATCACTGACAGCGTGGGCACTGGAAACCACCCCGTGCCCACCCAGAGGGTTCGGCAGATTTGTCCAGGAAGCGCAGGGCAGCAGCTAAAACACAGGTTCGCTCTGCGGGAGAACCCAGAGCCCCCGGACTCGAGGTGGACATGGAGTGTGCTGGAGGGCACAGCAGGGACCGCCCAGCGAGCACACACACAGGACACACACGCATCTCTGCTGCCTTCTATGGGGACTTCTGTGTGGATACCGACGCCCAGAAAAAGGGCCGAAGGTTCCGTGACAACCTGCCACTGAGTGGTCAAGGGGGCTTAGCCTAATGAACTTGGTCTGGAAAAGTAGGGCACCCAGAACACAGACGAAGAGGCAGGACGCACACTGCCTGGGTGAGTCTCAGAATCATCGGGCCAAGCGGGAGGCTGAGAACAAGCAAAACCAACCCACTGTGGGAAAATCCGAGGAGTGTGGCTCCAGGGCGTGGGGGGCTGGGGCATGACTGAGCAGGAAGGGCCGAGAGCATGCCGGGAGGGCGGGGGAGGCTGGAAACACCTTCACCTTGATGGGCGGAGGTCACACAGTGTAAACAACGATCAGATTCACGCAGTGGTACACAAACCCCCTGCGTGTCTTGCAACACGTAAACAACACATCAAAACAAGATGGCTCAACCTTCCCAGGACAACGGTCCACCCCATCCGTGCTCAGAGCACCAGCCAGCGGAACTGGGACTGGGCCTGGGGGCTGAGGAAAATGGCTGGGAGGAGTGGACAGTGGCCTGGACCGGGCAACAGGCTCAGCGCCTGACCCAACAGGCACGTCAGAGCCGGCTGCCTCCGAGCCTTGGCGGTGCGAGCCCAGCAGGACTGGGCAAAAGCGTGTGGGTGAGCAGCCAGGCCCCCTCCCGCCGGCCGGCCTGGGCACTGACCTCTGTGGATCACGGACAGCTTGCTGTGCAGGTGCTCCAGGGCCCTCACAATCTGGCATTTGGAACAGGAAGAGGGGGGAAGAGACCGGATGGCTGTGATTCCCGGTTGCATCAACAATGACAGAGCTGTAAGACACCCCACCCAGGGCCATCCGTCGCCCTCTCCCAGGTACACACCCAACCCTTCACTACCCTAGGCTCCTGCCCACATCCCAGCCTTTGCTGTGGGGTCCCAGCAACCTTGGTGCAGACGCACTGGGTTCCTGCATTGCTCTGAGTGGGCAAGGGTCTCAGGTGATATGCCCAGGACCCTGCAGAGTCCCAGATTTAGGGTGCTGTCCCTTGCCCCTGCCAGGCTCCTGGTAGAACCCAGCCCTCTGCAGCCTCCCTGCTTCCTCTCCCTCCCTCAGCAGTCAGTGGGCTACATGCTCGGAGCCATTCCCCACAGGGATGACCCCAAAGATCCTGATTCAACACCAGGGGGATGTTCGCACGTTCGCAGGTGCGGTCAGGAGGAAGGACCGCTGGTTCGCTGACTCCATTTCCCTTTCTGCTTTGGCTGCCGGGGTGCTCATGCCCGGGGCTGCTGCCCTGCCCTAGGGACATGCAAGCTCAGGAGGCAACTCTGTGAGCTGCCCCAGAGCGCCCTCGTCCTGGGCATGAGGAAGTTGTCAACACTAAGTCCTTTCTCGTGGCCTAGAAGCTCAGGAGCTGCACAGAAAGGCCCAGAGGGTCTGGCTCTGCCAAAGCTGCGCGGCTCCAGGAGCCCCAGTCTCCTCAGCAGGGAGGCTCTGGTCCAGGATGGCAGCAGCTGGGCTTCGAGGGGCAGCCGCCCAGGTTCAGGGCCACAGCTGGGGGCCACACTGGGAGCCCGACTCTGCCCAAGACAACACCATCGGGACCCCCACCCCAGCAGGGCCTGAGCCACTTACAGATACAGCGATTTCCCCGAGAATGTCCTCTGGGATCGCCATGTCCTTGTCCAGCACCTTCCGGTAGAACTTGTCCAGGGATGTGTCCATGAGCTCCATGCAGATCCACACGTCTCCCTGCTCGTGGACCTCGGGAACTCAGCCATGCCGGCCCAGGACTGCCTGGCCCGGCATCCCCCCATGCCCACCGCCCCAGAGCCGGCCGGCGCCCCCGACACACCTACACCCCTCAGCCTTTGCCGATGCCCCAACCTCCCAGCTCCTCCCTCTCCCCCCGAGGCTTGGCCATTCTGCTGGCTCCACACAGCAGCCCCCCGCTCCGCTGTCACCTCTGCGCTCCCCCATCTGACCCCTAATTCCACGCAGGCTCCAGAGAGAAGTGACCATGTCCCTCCAGTGGGGGCTTCTGGGACCCGCCTGTGCCAGCGCAGCTCCATGCCCCGGCCCTGCAGGCCCCTCCTGCCTCAGCCCCATACCCGCGCCCCCACCGCCCTATGGCTCGTCCCAGCTCTGAGCCTGGCAGACGGGTCCTTCCTCCGCCAGCCCCCCACCGCCCGCCCCTACCCGAGACAGCCTTCTGAGAAGGCCGGGTGCAGC